CCTCGGCGGAAAATCACGCCGAAACGCGATACGGGCCGAAAGGCCATTGCAAAGTCCAGGCAGGATCCACCGACCGCAAGGGCCTAATGGAAATTACGATAGATTATTTTATTATCTTCTTTTGTTTTGCGTGTACTCTGCCGGAGTTCGAATAGGTGCTCGCTCGCCGTGCCCGTGAAGACGCGGAGAAGGAGAGAGGGAGAGCCAGCTGGAGTCCCAGGAGGAAGGGAGCTGCGACACGCGAGGGTCGACACTCGCGCTATCTGAGGACAGCAGCTCTACTGGCCCTGGAGGCGCGCGCAACGCGGGACAGCTTGACGTCACGCGGCAGCAACGCGCTCTACTCAGCTGGTACTCAACCACGACGACTGGAAGCGGCGTACACAGCGCCACACGACTGAGCACCACTACCGACCCCTATGGCATAGCGCCCATCGTCAGTTTGCGCATAATTATATTTCCGCGAGTTGGGAATCCAGGGACGCCTGGTGCACCCTCGTGCGAGAACGAATGTTACTCTTCGTAGGACCGAGATGTTTGAATTGTCCACAAGAGATGATGAAAATTATTAATTGTCGCAATGACAGATTCGAAACTGGCGCGTGGCGAAGACGCTGGGTTGAAGGATTCGTCCGCAGGGCGGATCGCCGCCTATTAGCCTAAAGGGAGGGGGTGCTATCCTTCACGCGAAGACAAAGCGCGTGAAGATTGGGAATCTTGCTTGGACACGCGACGGCGATAGACGTTTGATTTTTGATTTGTGAGTACGCGAGTGCACAAAGTGCAATTGGGCTGTCGATTGAGTTTTCTGGGATTACGAGACCAGGGAACAACACGGTAAGCGAGGATATCTGACTTTTGTGAACGACGTAACTTTGTGCAAATCTTGGTACCGGATTTTGTTTGTATTCGTAAGTTTTGACCGCGCGTGTAACGGACACGCGGAGGGAAGATCCCTCACCCTCGAATTGGACCAAGGCACGAAGGTCCGTCGACCGGCAGGGTTCACAGTTTGGTATTTTGTTTGAGATTAATTATTGAATTCGAATTTTGTACGTTCTCCGAATTGTTTCGTGTCGTCCGGCCGTCAGGCATATGTAACTTTTGATTTTGTAACGCGAAGAACGCGTACAGGTCCTTGACGGTCGGCTGTCGTATTTTGGTAAACGCGGATTAGCCGTGTTACGACTTTGGCTTTGAATTCGTACAGTACGCGAAGTACCCGTTACTGTCTTTTGATTGAACTTTGTTTTTGTCTTTTCGATCTATATGAATTACTATTTCTTTGTAAATAATTACTTCGGTATTGTAAGAGATCGTCGCGCTTCGCGTCGCCGATTTTAGTTAATAAACCGAACCATTTCTTTGAGATCGAAGTGTCCGAATGATTTTGTGTGTCGCGTGATCGTCTGACCCATCCGACCTATTGTTCCGAATCCCGCCGCCTCCGCATAGCTGAGTTAGCCAACATAGGCACGCGAAGAGGAATCGTAGAGACTGATACGTGGTTCCCGTTTTGAAACCTGGCGCCCAACAATACCTTAGGTATTTCGAGAGTAAAACTTGTTAGCCCCTGGGTTGCCTGGAACGCGTCGGAATCGCGTAAGTTGTGCGCCGGTCGGCCTTGCATTTTCCGGTAAGGTCGATCGCGTAAAAATAGGTCACAATATATATGTTTATATCTTAATATTCACTTTTATTTCAAAGACTGTAGCGCGCACGCGCAAATTGTTTGCAAGAAACAAGCACCATTTGTTCCAAGTGACATTAATAACACAAACAACATTCTAAATAGAATTAATGATGAAGAAATTGTAGGATTTATCACGTGTATCAAAGATTATATAATAGAAACGAATTTCAGTGTTATAACTCTTATTGCTTTCTATTAGGAATGTATATTTTCGGAATGTAGATCGCATATGCAAGTGCACATAAATAAATATAAAATTATTTTCTTAAATAACTATGTGTTATTTGTTGTAGACCTTACCTTAATTTTTAGGGTAGCTTCTCATTTCATTTTATTAATAATTTAGATAAGATGAACATACGAATGTATTTAAAGGAAAATCGTGCGTATGGTTAATCTGTCAATTATGCGGTAGAGCAAATGACTTAACTACTGAAATACAAGTTCCGAAGAAAGTATACGAAGTACATGATGCTGGTCGATAGGCAAGGCATTGGATTAGGAGGCCAGAGGTCTGTGGTTCGAGACTCTCCGTCGGAAGTTTTTCTTTTCTTCTTCTGGACGTTATGATCTTTTTTTAAATACAAGGTATTAAGCCAGTTGAAGCGCTTCACGCCGGTCAAATCAGTGCTCATATTTTCTATCGTTTTTAC